GGCCCCGCCCCGCCGGTGGACGGGTCTGCCTGGACACTGCTGCTGCCCCTGTGGGTAGCCCGGTCCCTGGAGATGTGCCTTCCAGCGCCCGCAGCCTGGGTGCACGGTCCTGCGAGCTGCACTGTGGACCCCCTTTTCTGGGGGGGAAAGGAGGATCTTGGAGGGGCAGGAGTGAGCTGGCAGCCACTTGGTGCTACATCCTCAGCATTCGTAGCGTTTCTCAGCTGCAGGACCCAGCCCGAGAGTCAGCGATGGTGTGTGTGTGTCTGTGTGCTTGTGTGTGTGGAGAGAGGTGTGTGTGCGCCTGGGAGAGGCTGGGTGTGCCAGCAGCCTGAATGGGTGGTCGCGGGGGTAAGGGACACTAGGCCTCTGCACCTTGGGGGTGTGAGGGCCCAGCAAGGCCACTCGGGCGGGTTGGCCCTCCCGAGCCGTGTTTCCTATAGATAAGCATTCTTTGTATCAATTATGTTACACTAACAGGAACCTGGCACGCTGCCCCTACCTGGGCAGGCACTGAGTAAGCTGAACCGTCCCGCAGGGCGGGGCTCCCAGCCTGCGGTGGACTTCTGTAAATAGCTACAACTCGGAAATTAAAGATCTGCTCTTGGAGGGAGTGGTCAGTCCGTGTGGGACCCTTAGCCAGGGACGGGGCCAGCTAGCCCAGCACCATCAGCACAGCCGACACGGGAGTAGTGGAGCTCCCTCCCAGGGTCTCTGTCCTCCCACCCTCATGGGAGCCCCACCCGGCAGTTATATTTATGCACAACTTTAGGGCACAGGGGTGTCTATCTACAGACATGTACAATTCTTTTCTTTCTTTTTTAAGGAGATTGTTGTCATAGGGTGTGTGCCTTCTCCAGAGAGACAAAGTGAGAAGTCACCCCTCGGGGAGGATAGCCATGCCTCAATCCTTTCGCCATTCTCTCGAAAGCTTGGGCACACACACGCACACGTGTCTGGCGTGAGTTTGAAGCTGCCAAGTCCGGGACTCAAACCATGGTCAACCATGTGGGAGTCCAGCAGCGTAACCACTATGCCATCCGCTGGTCCCAGAAATGTACACTTCTTGATCTCCGAGTGCTCAGAGCAGGCAGCAGGGCCAGGCTCCCTGTGGTGCGTGTGGTCCTTGAGGTAGTCAGGGGTGGGGAGGTGACCAGCACCCTGGGGAGAGAGTTCCTCTGGGAGAAGTCTCCAGGTCCTCAGCAGATTTCCTCTAGGAGAAATGCTCCAGGCCCTCAGGCCTCCCTGAAAAGAAAGGACGTAAGTGTGAGACCAAGGCCCAGGGCAGAGAGCCCGGTCGGGCGTGGGCTGAAGGGCAGGTGGGAGCACCCCTGCACCCTCCTGGATGGCACTTACGAGGTGGAGAGGGGGGTGTCCAGCTGTATGATGTGGCGGCCCCGCATTCTCTGCAGCTGGGCCCGGGTCAGCCTCGGGGGCCTGCTGTCCCTCGGCTCTGGGGCCCCCGGGATCCTTTGGCTGGCCAGTTCTTCCCGGATCTCTCTCAGCATGTCCTCAGCCCGGAGAGGCCGGGGCATAGGCGTGCAGCTGGACCCCGGAGAGAGGGGCCTCTCTTCTTCGTCCTCCCCGGAGGACTCCCAGGGGCTTTCTCCCGCAGAGTCCACGAGCGTGGGGGAGGCAGGGAGCTGCCCCCGCAGTCGGGCCCTGTGCAGGGTCTCCATCACCACATTGCCTCCCCCCAGGGTCCCGTCCTCCTCCTCAGACCAAGTGGGCGGGTCTCCCCGGGGAAGGCTGCCTCCTCCCGGGATGCCTTCTGGCAGATCGGGTGCGCTGCGGCGTTGAGGAGCTTGGGAGTCGGGAGGCTGGGGGCGCAAAGGCACGTCTCGGAGGTCCAGGGTGGAGAAGCTGAGGCGAGGGTCCCGCCGAAGGGCTCTGGGGCGTAGGCGGCTCAGCGGGGAGCCTGGGATCAGAGTGCCGTAGCCAGAGTCGGAGGTGTCGTCTGGGACAGTGGGAGCATCTTCGTCCGTGTCTTCGGTCACCACCAGCTGAGGGATGATGGCCGAGATCTCGAGTGTCCTAGGGTTAAGGGGGAATGGTCAGCGGCAGATGCTTCAGGGTCAAGTTCAAAGCCAGAAAAGGCCCCTCCACGTCTTTCTGTTACCTGCACACTGCCCTGTGGCTTTGCCTGCTCCTAACCTCCTAAGAGGGACTGCCATGCCCCCACATGTGACCCAGCACCGGGCTGGGCTCAGACTGGAGCAGTGTCAGGTGTCTGCTGAGTGGTTCCTGGGCTCCCCGGAGGTTTGTCCCCCATGCCCCATGACGAGCTCTCACATTATCGTGCCCCTAAACAGCTGAGTTACCCATGGGGCGACCCTCCCGCTCTCCGGGGAGCTGGACCAGCTGGATCCAGGCAGCCCTGACATTCTGGTGCCCACCTTCACCCGCCCCCCTCCGGCCCCTCTCCTGGAGTTCGAGTCCTAGTTCCTTCGCCCTCCCTCCACCCTGCTGCTCCACCCCAAAAGCCCCTTCTTCCTCTCCCTCTTCCCAGAACCCCAGAACTTGTGGTGCCATTTCTCAGCCTTCGGGTTCTTCCTGTCCCCTCCCTGCCTGCAGCCACCCAAGGGGATCTCCTGGTCTCACCTCCCTTCAGTGCTGCTCTGAGAGCCCTCCGGGGAAGGCGTGGAGGGCCTGGTGCTGGGGGACTCCTGGCCTTGGTCCCGATAGAGGGCCAGGAGCTCCCTCTTCTGATGGATGTACTCCTCTGCCTTCAGCTTCTGCAGGGTGGCCTGCGGTGGGGACACTGCTTTAGGGCTTGGCCGCCGGGCACATGCTGCATGCCAGGCCCCGTGCTAGATGTTCCACGGACACCATCTTACGCTTCACAACTGCCCCGTGGCAGTGCGTGTTTGTTTTTTTAGTTCTTGCTATAGGCATGTAAGCTCACCAAAGACAGAGGGGGGAAAGTGAGAAATCACCCCCCAGGGGAATGACACAATTCCTTCTCCTCCAATCTCCTCTTGGATTTTGGGCAAGCATCCGCTTGTGCCTGGTGTGATTTTTAAACCGCCGGGTCTGAGACTCGAACCCATGTGGGATCTAGCCACCTTAACCCCCATGCCACCTGCTGGTCCACAGGGCAGATATTTTCACCCTTACATTACTACTGAGAAATGGAGGCTTTAAGGTTATGTGACTGCCTGAGAGGTACTCCTTACAGTCGGAAAACAGGGGGGGGGGGGACCCGGCCAGGGGAAGGGGGGGGGGGGGGTACCAGCACAGGTGGCACCAAACTCTAGAGCTAGGGGTGGGGGCGGTGAATAGAATATCCCCTTTCATACCCATACAGTTCTTCCTGCTGCTCATGCCCTCTTGACAAACCCTGTTTCAGGTCTGCCCCCTCCTTCAAGAAGCCCTCCCTGATTGATGGTTGTAAGTCCTCTGAATAGTACTGGCCCCTTAGGCTGCTTCTTCAAGGTCAGCCCTCTCCCACCACCTGGGCCTCTGTCCTGATGCTGGGAGAGGCAGAGCCAGGCACTGTGCTTGGCTGAGGACTCTGCTGTCCTTCAGAGGGATGAAAGCAGACAGTCCCTAGAGGAGGAGGACATGCCTGTTGTTGTCTTCCTCCCTCAGTGTGTTTGTAGGGCGCCATCAGAATAAACTCCAGACATTGGAGAAGGTTTGCAGAGCACCTCCGCGTGCATGCAACTTGATAGGCACTGCGCCCACAGCATGGAAGGCACGGCCGTCAGCCCGCTTTACAGATGAGAACACTGACCTGGAGGGCGAATCTTGCTCCAGGGCCCAGGGGTAGAAGAGAGCTGGGACTGGGCTGTGCCCTTTGTGTCCTGCACGAGGGTGGCCAGAAGGGCAAGGAGCTGCTTAAGGACAGTGGCTGGGGAGGTGGGGCAGGCAGCAGAGCCCAAGGAGGCTCAGCAGGGGCGGCGCCGGCCTGGCCAGGCTGCCATCAGTGCTCGCTGGTCTGGCCACGTTGCTGCTAAACACTGAGGTACTGCCACACGGTCGGGCAATGTCTGCCACTCGAGCCTCCCACCCGACTCCATGATCTTGCAACCAGAGGGCCTCTGTGCCCCCTGCCCTGAGCAGGGCTCCATTCTGATTGAGGACGCCCGTGCCACACTAGTTCAATATTTCAGTATTTCCCCAGCTCGAGGGACGTGAGTCGGCCACCTTCAAGCACCTGGACTGCCCTAGTGTGTCTCCAGGAACACTGGGGACAGCTGCGTCAGCACAGGAGACGTGCTGGAGACAGAGGAGCAGGGGTGGGAGAAGCTGTCTAGCTCTCCTTTCCCTGCTCTGCAGCCACTCGGGCCTGGGAGTGACAGGCATGGCAGGGTCGTCAGCAGAGTGACATGTGGGGCAGGGTCCCCAACTGTCTTCACTCTCCTCTGCTTCAACTTCTTGGCCTCCACTACTGACAGATCTTTCTGAGCCCTCCACTGGGTCCTTCTCTGCTTCCCGGCCCCAAGAATCAATCTCTCCTCCCTTGGGAAGCTCATTTTTTCCACAATCATAAGCCAACATTGCTACATGTGCTGGGTATAAATCTCCTCAGAGTGAGGGGGAGGGGGAAAAGCCTGACCTCTAGGGATTCTCTAGGAAGGGAATCCACAGAAATTTGACTGTCCTCATTTATAAAGGCTGATTAAACAGGAGGACTCCCCAAATATTTGGTGTGAGATAACAGCAGGAAAACTAATGTCAAAGTTCCAGGCCTTTGTTTTTTTTTTTTAGAGAGAGATTTTTGCTATAAGGTATGTGTGCTTCCCAGAGAGACAGAGAAAGTGAGAAATCATCCCCCATTCCCCACAATCCCTTTTGCTCCATTCCCCTCTTGGGATTTTGGGCATGCACACACATGCACCTGGAGTGAGGTTCACACTGCCAGGTCTGGGACTCAAACCGCAGCCAGACATGTGGGAGTCCAGCGCCTTAACCACTACGCCACCTACTGGCCCCAACTTTTTAGAAAGATTTGTTTTGTTTTAGATTTTTGCCATAGTGCTTGCTGGAGAGAGACAGAAAGACACGAGAGAGAAAGGGAAGTGAGAAATCCCCCTGGGGAGATTGCCATGCTGCAACCACATCTTCGGTTTTCTCTTGGTATTTTGGTTATGCATGCACATGTGCCTGGCACGTTTGGCAAGCTGCTGGGTCCAGGACTCAAACTGCCTAGTTGGCACATGGGATTTAGCGCCTTGACCACCACACCATCTGCTGACCCGTTTCAGACTTTGTAGTTTCGCTAAGGCCCTCTGCGCACAGCTTGGTTATAGGTCAAAGTGACCTTTCCTCTACTGGCTGGGCATGAGACTGCTGGGCTAATGACTTTGCATGGTAAGATACCAGCAGTGAGGCCAGATGGTGATGCAGAGGTAATGTACCTGGACTCACATGGGAAAGGTCCTGGGTTCGTGTCCCGAGGCCTCCTTGTGCACACACGTATGCGTGTGCCTGTGATCCAGGCTAGCTGAGGCCTAGGGTGGATTGTGGGGTGAAGACTCTGGTGGGGGTGCCTGTCTTCCTCTCTCACTGTGGAAGAAACAAGCTTGGGAAAAAAGCCAACAATTTTTAGTGGCCCCCAGGGGTTCGAAAGGGAGAACGTGAAGGGGGAGGGCAGTTGTCATGGAACCAAAGGAAGAGAAGGAAGCTCTGAGGGTGGGAGTGGTAAAGAAAAGGGCAGCCTGCCAGAAAAGGTCCCCATGACTGTCCTGGCAGGCAGGGGCTCGAAGAACACAGACACCTGCTTGTGGTCTTGTCCTTCGGGTGCCCTCATCCCCTCAGGAGTCGCCAGGCAGTCTGGCCCTGGGTGAGCCGTTCAGGTGTGGGGAGACCCCTGCCAGGCAGAGAGGGATATGGCCAAGCCCGAAGCAGGGGCAGGGCAGGTGGGGGACCCACGTGCCTGCCAGCTCCCCTGGTTTCCCGGGGACTGTCACCACGTTGCTTAGGAAGGGGCAGCCCGCAGGACTGCAGGACACTTCCAGGCCTGCGCTTCGGAGTTTCCCAAGCCTCTAAGAGATCTCTACTTGGCCCTCTTCCTGTCTCCGTTTCCGTAGCAAATTAAATAGGACCAGCCCAGCCCCACCCTCTCAGAAAGCAACAACTAAACAAACAGGTTTCCTTCCCCGAGTTCATTTCCCAGGGCACCACTGCCAATGCAGTCTTTCAAACAGAACCGGGGAGGCCAAGGGAGGCCAATCACCCTCTTTGTCCTCTGGGACCTTGCGTTACTAAGCGCTGGCACGTGTAGGGGGGAGGGGGTAACCTGAGTGGTTTCTTTGACTCCTCCCTGCCAGGCAAGACCTGTTATTGTTGATATGATTCTGTCATTGAAGAAATTGAAGCTGGGGAGGGCCCATACTTACCCAAGATCATCCATCCAAGAAGTGGCAGGATGGGACCTAAACCTAGGTTTTTCTTCCTCCCTCCCTCCCTTCTTTCTTTTTTGAGAGATTTTTGCCATAGGGTGCATGTGCCAGAGAGACAGAAAATGAGAAATCACCTCTTCCCCCCGGGAGGATGGCCCCACCGCGATCCCTTCTCCTCCTTTCTCCTCTAGATATTTTGGGCATGTGCACACATGTGCTTGGTGTGAGGTTCAGGCCTCCAGATCCGGGACTCGAACTGTAGTCAGTCATATGGGAGTCCAGCACCTTAAACACTATGCCACCTGCTTGTCCCTAAACCTAGATTTTTTGGAGAGGTTTTTGCTATAGGGTGTGTGCACTCGCCAGACAGACAGAGAAAGAGAGACAGAAAGCGAGAAATCACCCCCCAGGGGAGATGGCCACGCCGCAATCCCTTCTCCTCCATTCTCCTCTTGGGATCCTGGGCATGCGCATGCACAGGCCCCCGGCGTGAGTTTAAACCACTGGGTCCAGGACTCGAACTGCGGTGGACTACATGGGTTGGGAGTCCAGCGACATAGCCATTACTCTAACTGCTGATCCCAAACCTAGATTTTTCTGAAATCATACAGGCTTTTAACTACAGTCTCTCTAGGGCTCATCTGTCTCCTCCCTTTTTAGTTCCTCTATTTTTTCTTTTGCGGTATTTCCTAAAGGTCATCAACTGTCAGCATTTCACACCAAAATAGTACATAAACCTCACCAATCTTTCCGTCCTCCCGCTCACCTGCCACACTGCTACGTGACCCCTCCCCAAACCAATTCAAGACAGAACACCTGATCTCACCATATCACCATCCCCTGCTAAGGAATTCGTGGCAGGCCAGGAGATGGCGCAGTGGTGACAGCTGACCCACTGGGAAGGTCCTGGGTGTCCCCGTGCATGCTGGGCATCAGACATGAAGACCCTGCTGGGTGACTTTCTCTTTCACTCTGTCTTCTTCCCTTCATTGCTCTCCCTCTCATGGAAGAAATAAACTTTTTTTGGGAGAGAGATTCTCGCTATAGGGCACGTGTGCTTGCCAGAGAGACAGAGACAGAAAGTGAGAAATCAGCCCACACCCCAGGGGGGGATGGCCACGCCGCAATCCCTTCCCCCCCATTCTCCTCTAGGGATTTTGGGCACACACACACATGCACCCGGCATGTTTCACACCGCTGGATCCGAGACTTGAACCACAGTTGGTACATGGGAGGTCAGTGCCTTAACCACTATGCTGCTGGCCCCAGAAGAAATAAACGCAAAAGAATTCGTGGTGGCTCTCTCTTGTTCCCACTATTCAATGCAACCTCATCCGCGTCGCACTCTCCCGCAGCTCTGAAGTCACTGCCCTCAGCCTGGCCTGCACCAGCTGCTCACG